ACTTGGTTATGAAAAAAGTTTTTTCTTAATTGTCTGGGTCCATCCGAATTTAGTTGTACCCAGAGTAGGAGTCGAGAAAACTGAGTATCGTGTCCTGCTGTCGCGTCAATCAATCGATCAATGTTAGGCAAAGGGAATGAATCCTTTGAACATGCCTTGTTTAGATCCTTATAATCTACACACATCCTCAGTTTATTTCCTTTTTTAGGTACTACCACTACGTTAGCTAACCAATCCAGGTATTTAACTTCTCGGATGGAACCTATTTTTAGAATTTGGATTCCCCGTCCTTGATGAACGCGTGTTTGATCTCGGGCATTGGCCTTCTCTTCTGCTTAACCGGATGGAACTCAGATCCAAACTCAACGTGTGGGTGGTTACCTCCTACGGGATCCCAGTTATGTCTAGATTGGACCAGGCAAAACAATCGGTGTTAGCTTTAATAAAATCAATAAGTTTTTTGCTTAGCTCGGGGGTTAACCCCGTGCCTAGGTATACCTTTCGATCCGATAGGTTCTCGATCAATATAACTTGCTCTTACTCCTCGATCATTGATTTGGTGGAGGCGGTGTCATCGGGATCTATGAATGTTCTCGGGACTCTGTAATCATCCATTTTGTGCTCCTTCTGTTCCTCCGACCCGGCTGAGGCCAGTGTCATTGATTGCTATTTAGTTATCTATTTTTTGGTTGATTCCGTGCCCTTTGAAATCACAGGCACCGAGATCACCTTATCGACAACGAACATTTCCTTTGCGACCAGCTATTCTCCATAGACCATTTTGACTACTCATGGTGTGGGAAATTTCAGTGCCTGGTGTAGGGTCAAAGGCAGCGCCCTCGTGTTATTGACCCACGGCCTTCCGAACAAAGCGTTGTACCTCATGTCCCCTTCGATCATATAGAACTTTGTTTTTTGGGTAGTCCTGGAAGTGTTTACCGATAAGGTTATCTGACCCTTCGTGGTCTCGCATGCCATGTTGAATCCATTCAATACCTAGACTGCCAGTACAATTTGATCTTGTAATCCCAGTTACTCTACGACCCTCGATCTTATGATGTTGCCCGAGCTACCTGGATCAATCAACACACGCTTAACCCGAGATTTATTGATAAGTACAGATATTACTAGTGCATCATTGTGAGGCTGTACAATGCCCTTGGACTATTTGTCGTTGAACGAGATAGTTCCATCCGGGACGTAATCCCGGGCGCACTTTTCCCTGGAAAATTTTTTGGTGCGTTTTATCATCGGCCCTTGGGGGACATCGACTCCCCCAGTGATCGTGATGATTACGTGCTGAGGCTCCTCTTGTTCGAACTGTTTGTCGGCATCCCTGTTTCTGAAGTGGTTCTTGGCTCGCTCACTTAGTATTTCTCGGAGGTGCCCATTGTTGAACAATCGAGCAACTTCTTCTCTTAACTGTTTGCAATCCTCGGTCCTATGACTGTGTTTTTCGTGATACTTTCACATCAAATTAGGATCTCTCGGCATGGTCGGACTATAATGGTCGAGGCCACTTGGTCTCTTTGATGCGCCCTATGGCCGACACCATGCTCGCAGTGTCCTCGTTGAAATTGTACTCTGATAATCTTGGTGTTTCCCTACTCTGGAGTGGCCTGTCAAACCCGCTTTTGCTCATCAGGCATCGGCCGCTCGGTCCTTGATCTTTTCTCTTTTCATTCCTTGATGGGAGGTGCCCGGATCCATTTCCCCTCCGATCTGCGTTGCATGGCTGATATCGATCTCGGACCGGCCTTGGCTATTGATCAATGGATCTCTTAGATATGTCATCTGCTCTGACGGGATTAACAGATCCCAAAGGGGCTCCGAGTTGATCATCTTCGACCCTAATCTTTTATTGGTACCTGTTGTGGACGTCGACCTAGGTGACCGACAGGTACTCCACCAAATTTTGTTTTAGTTGCTGAGAGGCCACAGAACTTCGGGGTTTGAGCCCTTGAGTGAACGCCTAAATGCCCCAATCATCCGCGACCGGTGGCAAATCCATCTGTTCCATCTAGAATCTCAACACGAACTCCCTAAGCATCTTGTTATCCCTCTGTTTTAACTTGAAAAGGTCTGACTTCCTAGTTTCTACCTTGATGGCCCCGGCATGGGCCTTCACGAACGCATCTGCAAGCATAGAAAATGAGTCGATAGAATTTGGAGGCAAGTTCTGATACAATATCATCGCTTCCTTGGACAGGGTTTCCCCAAATTTAATTAGCAACACTGACTCGATTTTGTCATCTACCAAGTCGTTCTCTTTGATGCGCGCATGTATAGGAGGTTACATGCTCATTTGGATCCATGGTCCCATTATACTTGGGAATGTCAGGATTTCGAAACCTCTTTGGGATTGGCTTCGGTGCTGCGCTCGGGGGGAAAGGCTTCGGAATAAACTTATTGGAGTCCGGCCCCTTTAATATCGGAGGCGCTCCCTTGATATGATCGACCTTGGAATTATACGTTTCCACCTAATTGTCATTGGTCTCAATCTTTTTCTCGCCTGAATACACTCGTTTTGTCAATGCTTCGAGTATCTTCATCACCTCGGAAGTTTCCCCGGGTCTGATCTCACCCGGTTCAACGATAACTTTTTCATCCCTTCGAGCACTTTTCTGGGACTGTTCGAGTTAGGGGCATGGCTTTGGTTCTAAAACTGTGCTATTGCCGCTTGTTGAGCCTGCAACATTTCGAAGATCAACCGCAGGCTTACCCCATCACCATCACCCTCGGGCGTTTCTCAGGCCACTAGGCGAGGTCCCTCACGGACGGTGTTTTCGAAATCAGTTGGTAAATTGATGTTGATGGCCACTTGAGAGTTAGCATCGACAAGGTCGGCGGCTGGGACACCGTTGGGATCAATAGGAGGCACATCATTACTAGGCATCACATTGGTGTTCTCGCCGTTATAACCTTACTCAACATCAACGTTCAAGTGAGCAAACTGAGAGTCTGACATCCTTAGGATAACTTGTAATCAAAATTACAAGAACAAGCATAAAATAAGTGTGTTACGGAGATTCGTATCAAATCACCACTGTCATTCTTAGCCCCACGGTGGGTGCCAAACTGTTTACCCCGAAAATGAGTAACAATGAAATTTGTATGTGATTTAAAGGATACGTGGTTTAATTCAATACGAATAATTAAGAACATGTAAATTAATTAAAGATAAAATAAACGATTAAACGAATCGCAATGTAATGACCAAGCCTAATATTAGATTGAACATCGGAATTCGTCCTCGATTGGACCCTCGGTACAAGCTCGATCGTGAGTGAAGAAAAGAACAAATGAATAATGCCTTGAACAATAGCTAGAAGACAAAAGTAATCGTTTATTGCTTTGAGTTGTGTATTACAATGTGTCAGAATAAAGAAAACCTTCCCCTTTATGTAGTAGGGGAATTCCAGTCCAGTACAAGTCTAAATAAGGTAAAAAATTTCTTTTTCGGGTGAATGTCGATCTATTGATGCTGAATGTGATTCGCACCATAATATCCGTTTGAGGACGAATATTACGGCCCCTACTCGTCGTGCATAACCGTTCTCCGCATTTCCCGAAGTCCGGAAGCTATACTTGTTCTAGGTCTATTATTTGCACCGTTCGTTCCCTAGGGTTTTGATACTAGGGGTCCTTGGGCCTCGATCATGCTCACGTCGAGCCATGCTTCCCCTTTGTTTCCACATCGGGGAATCGGGGAAGACTCTGTCTCCGATTTTACCCATACACATATGCTCTATTACACGATCAGCTATAGTATAGTATAATATCGTATCCACAGGGATTGAATTTAAATAGTATTCTCGTAGTTTCTAGCTTGATTGCTATTCAAGATGATCAACAGTTGAGATTTACAAGATGTCTAACTAAAATTAACTAAGAATCTAAAGTTATTGACTAATGACAATCGAAACAAGGAATAAGCAAAAGGGGTTATCAGTGAAAAAAAATAGAATTTTAATAGGATAGGTGCAAGATAATTATTCGGGGTCTAACTCTAGATAATTGACTTCTAATGTTCAAGTGAGTCTCTCGAATTCACTCAATTACTAGTTCATACGTTCAGCAAAATCTCCTCTCTCGATTAAGTCTTAGCCTCACAAAGATGAACCAATTTAAGCACGTAAAGATATGCAAGAATGCATAATGGATTGGTCTTTAGGAAAACCTCTTTCGATTATTCTCCTAACTAGTTTTAATCAATAATTCAACTAGCCTTTTTCGATTACTAAGAAGAGTTAATAAACTCGACGAACAATATAATGCAAAGATATCACAAGTTATGCCTCTCTCAATTACATGAGCAAGTGAATACATATACAACAGTTAAATCATCCAAAACTCTTCAATACATAACACTAGAGTTATAATCCACAACAATCCTCAATACACCATATCAATTAAAACACAGAATAAGTACAAAACACTATCAATTAAAGCTCAACACAAGTAAAGTGCAGTAAATTAGAATGCAATAAGCGACTAAAAATACGTAACTATAGCCTACCATCAGTTACCTGTAACTATCATTCGGATGACCTGATTGTATAAAAAATTCTTCACACCAATAGTATATATAATTTAAAATCATTTATATATGTACCAATTTCTTCCAAATTTCGAAAATGTATGGCCTATTGGCAATAAAATAGGTTTGTTGCTGTCTTCTGATTTTTGGAGTATCAAGAATTCTGAGAAGATAGATTCATATCATATGTTTGTCTAATCTGCCGGCCCGAATTTAAAGCAAATGCAATTAAAGAATAATAAAATTCTGCTTGACTTTTGTATATATAGACATACCAGATTGTGACCTTTGTTCTGAAGAATGAGAGACAATAGCAGCTAGCTAGTTCAACTAACCAGTGGTTACATTTGCGGAAAGCGAATGATTAGAACAGTCTATTATTTTTGAATCAAAGTAGCGGCAAGTGGAGTGTTACTACTTTGAGGAAAGAAGTACTTAAGTAAGGCTTTGTTGCTTCACTATGGATAAAAACATTCACGTTGACAATTTGCATGACAAATCTTATGCTCAACCATCTTTTGATGGAACTATGGATATGAATAAGAATGACAAGAAGGTAATTAACTTGGCTAACTTGATATTTTGTTATATGTTGCCATTAATTATTTACATTTTATATTCTAAAAACATGTGAGTTAGAAGACGAGCACTTTTCTTTTCAGCACCACTAGCATCAGCATAGTCTTGTATTTTCTTAGTCGTAGATCTTTATTATTAATTGTTCGTTTTTTTCCGCTTCGTCTTTTTTACTGTTATGTTGTTGTTACTACTTGTTGCTACTGCTTCTTTTTTCATCTTTTCTTGAGTCGATGGTCCATCAGAAATAGCCTCTCTACCTTATTAAAGTAGGGATAAGACCCCACTTATGAGATTGTACTAGGCTTACTTGTTATTGTAGTAGTAGTATTCTAAAAATATGGTGAAATGGCAGGTAATACAAACTTTGGTAACCAATGGGTGCGTGGATTATAAAGGGAATATTGCGGATAAAAGAACCACTGGAGGATGGAAGGCTTCACCATTCATTATAGGTCTCTTTTCTCATTTTTTTCTTTCTTTTAATACTCAAATAAATAAAGAATTACTTAGTTAATCTATGTAGATTCTTTGCTAACTGATCTTTTTTCTTTTTCCTTTTTTGGTTTGACGCAGTCAACGAGGTGGCAGAGAGGTTGGCATTCTTTGCCGTGGCTGTAAGTATGGTGGCATATTTGGTGTTTGAGATGCATCAATCGCTGCCAGATGCTGCAACTCATGTCAATGATTGGATTGGAGCTGCCTATGTTTTGACTCTACTTGGAGCTTTCCTTGCTGATGCTTACTTTGGTCGCTTCTTAACCATCATCATTTTCTCTTGTATCTACTTCGTGGTAAAAAATGATCACTCCTTTTCTTTTATTGCCAGTTGAATTTTCCAACCGATATACACGTAGATTATACACTGATTAACCGGATGTTTACACAAACATCCAGCTGGTTTTACTGTCTACTTTCTCTAACCGATATACGTAGATTATACACTAATTATATACGGTTATACATATAGTATACATATATTATACGTCCGTTATTTTTAGTTTAGCGACTGGGTGATGACTATTTAGATTAATACTTCAATAATATATTAGATTAACTTGGCCATTATAGTTAGTGTCTAAACTCTAAAGATCAAACAACATGCATGGATATGCAGCCTACTGCCTAGTTGCAATTCCGTCCTACGTCTACAAATTTTATTAAAGGCTTTCCTTTTATCTTACTTCCGTTACAAATAAAAAATTCGACTAATTAGCTTGTGCAATCAAGACAAAAGAAAATGTCGTACTTGGATAAGTGGTGCCATAGCGGCTAAAATTTAACAACAGCAGGTATTTTTACCATAACACATTATTTTACGATGATTAAGTAATAAATTGAGACAAAAATACACGTTAATTAAGTGATAAAAATGTTCATAGAAGAAATGTGTCATATTATCACTAGTGTAAATACTGAGTGCAAGTTTTTTCCGCACCCACAAATCTTAGATAGATCTATTTATATAGTTGAACAATTAAACTATATACACACACCAAACTTAGTACATGCAATTTACTCACTTTTGAATTAAAATCTTGGATCCGTCTCTGATCAGGGAATGATATTGTTAACGCTATCAGCATCAATCGACAGCTTAAGACCACCTCAATGCACAGCGAGGCCATGCATTCCAGCAACAAAAGGCCAAACAGCTTTTCTATATGGAGCACTCTATCTCATAGCACTTGGAACAGGAGGCATTAAGCCATGTGTCTCAACATTTGGAGCTGATCAATTTGATGAATCTGACAAAAAAGAATCCCAAAAAAAATATGCATTCTTTAATTGGTTCTTTTTTGCTATTAACATGGGTGCACTTTTGGGAATAACTCTTTTGGTTTATGTACAACAAGAAAAAGGTTGGACTTGGGGTTTTGCTGTTCCTACTGCAGCTATGTTTGCATCTATTGTTATCTTAGTTGCTGGCTTTACTAAATATCGTTATCAGAAACCTATGGGAAGTGCTTTCACTAGATTTGTTCAGGTTATTGTTGTTTCTGTTAGAAATCATTTCAGAGGTGTGGTGGTGACACATGAAAGTGAACTCTATGAGATCAAGACCAAACAATCTGATATTTTTGGTGCTCGAAAGCTTCCTCATACTAAGCAATACAGGTCAGTGTTAATTTCTTTGAGTTTAATTTACATTTTGAAATAATCTTTACAGTATCAGATCACCTAAAAGATAAAATACATGTAATCGTCCATGAAAAGTGGAATTAATAATAACCTGAAAAACAAAACGGTTTTAAAAAACATTGATAATGTAAAATTCTTTGCATTGTCATTATGACTTATATAATTAAATTCACGATTTGACTTACGCTACATATACTGACTGTACTATAAAAGATTTTTATACAACAAGTACAGTTTAACCTATTATAACGAGTTAATTATCTTTTTTATTACATTACCATTAAAGCATGTCACCAAAAATTTACCAGTAAATTGGGATAATTTACACAAATAACCAGCCGGATTTACTATTTACTTTTTTCCTAGTCGATATACATAGGTTATATACTGGTTATACATTGTTATACACATATTATACATAGTTATAAATATATTATACGTCCGCCGGTTATTTTTAGGTGAAATTTGCGTGGACACCTATTTAGGTCAATTCTTCTAGATTTAAATACTAATGTTCACAACGTCTCTCTCTAATTGTTGGACACTGCAGATTTTTGGATAAAGCAGCAGTAGTTACGGACACCGAAATCATTACCAAGAATAAATGGAGATTATGCACAGTGACACAAGTTGAAGAGTTCAAATCCTTTATCAGAATCCTTCCAATATGGGCATCGACAATAGCTCTTTCCATTTCATTCGCTCAACTCTCCACTTTTTTCCTCACTCAAGCCAACATCATGGACAGAAAAATCGCCCCGAATTTGACCATCCCCGCCGGCTCCGTCCCCGTCTTCACGGCCCTCAACGGACTCCTACTCGTACCAGTATACGAGAAATTCATCGTCCCTTACCTCCGTTCCAAAACCGGACACCAACGTGGCATCACGTCGTTACAACGTATAGGGGTCGGCTTATTCGTTTCTATTTTTGCCCTAATGTCCGCTGCATTGGTTGAGAGAATGAGACGTCAGAACTCAAACCCTACAAGTTTGAGCATATTTTGGTTGTTTCCTCAATTCTTTCTCGTAGGTACAGCCGAGGTTTTCTCATACGTAGGACAATTGGAGTTTTTCTACGACGAAGCAACCGATGGTACGAGAAGTATAAGCAGTGCATTATTTTTAAGTGAGATAGGAATTGGGAGTTGGTTAAGTTCTGCCATAGTGAAAATTGTGGAAAGTGCCACGGGTGGTGTAGAGAAAGGGTGGCTTAGGAATAATCTTAACAAAAGCAAACTTGATTATTTTTACTGGATATTAACAGGGATAAATGCAGTGAATTTCTTGGTATATTTAGTGATTGCATGGAGATACAAAGGAAAAAATGGTGAAAGAGGAACAGTTAGAGATGAGTCAATGGTGTTTGAACTGGCTGATAGTAATGATACTGGGGAATTTCGTGGTATGGCCTCTTGAATAAGGTTCACAAGTGAAAAAAGTTCAATAGGACATTGAAGAAGTTTTTTTCTTTTCATTTTAAAGCACATGTATGTAGCTATTTGTTTTCCTTTTTTTTCTTCTTATTTCTGAATATTCATTGGATTGGTCTATTTATAGAGAGGAGCATTTCTCAAATTGCCACCCTTTATATACCGTTCAGATTTTTGTTAACTAGCCGGATTCTTGAGTAAGAGGGTCAAAGTCAAACTATCAAATTAGTATGAATTTAGATATAGAATCTTCAAGTTTTTTAAAATAAAATTTATATATTTAGAAATTACATAAAAAGTAAAAAGTACTGTAAGTCATAAAAACTTCTTTGACCCTCCAAATAATAGCTGCAGCACATACTGTCGGACAAATGGAAGTAATTTATTTTCTATCTCTACGACATATTCCCTCCGTTTCAATTTATGTGTACCCATTTGACTGGGCATGAAGTTTAAGAAAAGATAGAAGACTTTTGAACTTGTGGTGTAAAATGAGGCACATATATTTTGTGTGGCTATAAATCATTGCATAAAAGTAAATTATTTCCAAATAAAGAAAGAAGTAATTCTTTTTGGCACGAACTAAAAAGGAAATACGTTCACATAAATTGAAACGGAGGAAGTAACTAGTTTCATATAAGTGGTAGGAGTATCAGCCTTCAGATATATATTTTGTTGTTTCTAACTACTCTATATCTTAGGTCTTAGGTCTTTCAGAAATCTTTCTAAAATATACTAACTGGACCATGAAAAAGATGGATTTGATACAAAAAAAACTATTGATCCACATAAAAAAGAAAAAGGAAAAGCAAATTTTAAAAATTAAAAAAAAAAAAAGGGCTCGCTAGACGACCCTCTCCTTTCCTAATTCTAATTTGGTTTGGTTAGCCTAACAGCCTAAAAATTTCCTACTTGACGCAAGTTTTCCGAAACCTAATTCAAATTGGTGAATATTTATTACTATATTATTAGCCTTTAAAAGAAACACTTCCCACGCAGGTTTTTAAACTCAATTAAATCTCTCTTTGTTCAATTTGTTCATACTTTCCACTTGTGCTTTTTCTAATTAAGCCGTCTTGTATCTTAATTTTGCTTTCATAGCGATCTCAAGGAAAATTTGAAGAAAAATATGGCAGCATCAATTTTAGCGCGAATCGTCGACTTTCCAGCAGAAGGAATTAGGCCCAGGATCTTGTTTGAAATAATCTTCTGTAACTTCGCATTATTAATCTTTTTTCCGTTTTTGGACAGACCAGATATGCCAATTATGGCGTTTAAAGTGATGAAGACTTGGTTGACCATTTATTCTTGTTATTCCTTATACTTATGGTTCCTTTTCTTTTTCTTGGATGAAGAACGAATGTGTCTGCCTTTCACGAGATATATTAGAGAGACATACATCATAATTATTGATGAAGAAGCACAAATATGTGAAAGATGCAACACTGGAATAATACGAGGTATGATTTGTTTACTTATGGTTATGGTTGTTATATTTCATCGTCTATTTTGTTCTTGATCCTATCGCGACATCCTTTAGACAATCAACGAATCATTCAATTAACTGCGCCTCAATTCCAAACAATGATGTCAACGAAGAAATACGGGAATGTCTTCTGAAAGGAAGGGTGCAATATTGAAATCCCGAAATGATGTAGCACCCAAGCTCTTAAGAAAGAAGGGATGTAAATCCAGAATTTCCAAGCTTTTGATGTCCCAAAGGTGTGTGTGAGATATGGTGAAACTATGTGGATAAAGCTTTAGATCTAAAAATACTTGTACGTTTTTGTTCAGGTTATATTTTTATTTTATTAAGTGTCTGGATTAGTTTTTGTTTAATGATTTTTGGGTTTGTTAATTACGCCATAATTGATTTATCTATTGTTCTGGACCAAAAAATAAAACCTTATTGCTTTTAACTAAACAAATTTTTTTTTAAAAAGTCAGCCAAATACATAAATAAACCCTTAAAGTTGTCTCCAATTTCCACCGATACTAAGAACCACAATACCTTATTCATATAAACAAAAATAAAAAGATAAATTCGGTTGAGAGAAATTTCATTTACTAAGGCCTTATTTTTTTTTTTTTTAAGATTAAGACGTCTGAATCTGAATACACATCTGAATATCAAAATGTGTACTCCCTCCGTTTCAATTTATGTGAATCCATTTGACTGGGCACGGAGTTTAAGAAAAGAGAGAAGACTTTTGAACTTGTGGTGTAAGATATGGCACATATATTTTGTACGGTCATAAATCATCGTATAAAGGTAAATTATTTCCAAATAAGGAAAGGAGTCATTCTTTGTGGCACGAACTAAAAAGGAAATAGGTTCACATAAATTGAAACGGAGGGAGTATTAAGATTAAGACATCTGAATCTGAATACACATCTGAATATATTACGATGTATATTAAGATCAGAATAGAAATAATTAAGACTGTTTGATTTTAAAATCTGAATGTATAAAATTTATCTTTATTGAAAATTAATAAACATAAAATTCAAATGAAATACTAACTAATCTAAAATTCTATCAATAAAATATATAATTTTTTTTAGAAAATACGATAGTTATTGGTGGTGATGGCTAATGGGTGAATGCCAACTAGAGGTGGTGGTTGGTGGTAGTTTTGGTTGATGATGGTGGTTCATGCTAATAGCTAGTAGTGATTGGTAGTGGTGGCGATTATGATTGAGGATGGTGGTGGTGGGTGGTGATAGTTAATAATGGCGGGTCGTGGTAGTAGTTGTGACTGGTAAAGGTGGTGGGTGGGTGGTGGTAGGTTAAAATGTTGGGCAGTGCCGGCTGTGGTTGTTGATGTGATGGAGTGGTCAGTTGTGGTAGTTGAGGTGGATGAGTGTTGATTGTGGGTGAGAATGATTATGGTGGTCGGAGTGGTGGGGATAGTGGGTGGTGATGGTCGATAATGGTGGCGGCTATGATTGAGGATGATGGTGGCCTGGTGGAGGTGGTGGTGGTGGAGTACGGTGGTGGTGGCGGCATGGTGGTAGTTGATAATGGTAGGCGGTGGTAACAGTTAATAATGAATATGTGATAGCATCTTAATGAAATTAAGTCTAATAAATAAAAAGTGTTATACTTTGCTGAATAAAAAAGCTCTGACTTCTCTCTAATTTCTCTCTCTAAAAATAGTGACGACGAATGCGCATTGACGGTGAACTAACGTGCGCCTCTGCCGGCATGGGTAGGGGGAGACCAAAGAGAGTGATCCAGATCACAAATACGAGTAAGGAATCAAAAGTTGAGCAAACGAAGAAGATCGATGACATGCAAAAATTGCCGAGTTCAATGGAGCAGTTACAGAGCACTACTGAGATGTGGCCGCCTTTGCATGGAGTGAATTCAGCTAGATCCACTCCAATTGATAAAGGTGAACAAAGCAAAAGTGTGAAACAATTGGAGAAAGTTCCAATTACGGAGAAAATCGAGGTTGAAAAGGTGATACAGAGGAAGGAGGTACAGCAGACGGAAACAATGAAGCTAGCTATGGTGAAGGAAGCTCAAATTCTAAAAAACCAGCAGAGGAACAGAAGAAGGAGTGGGTGAACCTATTTGCTGGAAAAAATTTGGCGTCTAGAGGTATGAACCTCAAATTTATTGCTCCGATGGTCAAAAATGGTGAATAAATAGTTGAACTAGACACAAGTGAGGTTGAACGTGAAACGATGAAATGGCAACATGCAATTGTGCTGTATGTTGTGGGTGACTCCCCTTCAATTGGTGTGCTGGATAGATTTATTGCCACACAGTGGAACTTCATTAGCAAACCAAAAATATACTTCCATAATAATGGCTATTTCGTTGTTAAGCTTAATAGCATGGAAGATAGGGATGTTGTGCTGATGTCTGGGCCGTATATGATAAGAAACAAGCCTATAATTGTTAAAACCTGGTCGTCTAATTTTGATTTCGGTAAGGAAGTGTTGCAGACAATACCTATTTGGGTAAAACTGCCCAACTTACCGCTGAATTGCTAGAGTATGGATTCACGTAGTAGGATATGAAGTGGATTAGGAATACCTCTGTATGCAGATGAGTGCACCTCAAAAATTGAGAGGATTTCCTATGCAAGGCTTTTGGTTGAAACGGACGTTACAAAAGAGATGCCTACTGTGCTAAAGGTGATGGACCCTAAGGGCAAAAATTTTGAGCAACCAATTGACTATGATTGGATTCCTGAATATCGTCACACCTGCCTTCAGGTAGGACATAGTTTTAAGACTATCCAGAAAGCTATAGAAGGAAAACAAAAGCAACAAAAACCAAAAGATGTAATGGAGAAGAAGAGCAGAACCAAGCAGGGCTGAAAAAGATGAAAGTGTTGTAATACAGGCAAGCAAGATAGGGGATACTAAGAATGAGCAACTACCAGAATGGGAACTAGCTAAAAGAAAATCTGCAGCTAAAAGTGGTATGGAAAGCATAAGGGATGATACTGGCATTAATATGGTGAATGGATTCACTCCTCTTAGCTTTGAGATAGGGGATAACTATGGAGAAAGGACAATGTAGCTACCAGGGGGATACTGGGGATCCTAAGTCCAAACAACCAAGTAAATGAAACTTGTAGCTTGGAATGTGAGGGGTGTAAATAAAGTTTATAAGCAAAAAGAGGTAAAGAAGTTCATTGTAAATAATGATGTATCACTAATAGCTATACTAGAAAATAGAGTAAAGGAAGACAATGCTGGCAGAGTAATTAATAAAATTACAGCTAACTGGAAATGGTGTGCAAACTATGCACATAGCTTAAAAGGAAGAATATGGATTATGTGGGATCCTAACAGGTTGGAATTTGAAGTTACTAATTTGAGTTCTCAGGCTATTCATGGAATCCTTAACATGCCTCAATTACATATAAAACTACACTTGATAGCAGTCTATGGTTTACACACTATCGAGGCAAGGAAGGAGTTATGGGAAGAGTTGAAAGGGGTAAATAGGTATCTTCAAAGTCAATGGTTAGTCTTTGGGGATTTCAATGCTATAACTGATTTAGAAGACAGGCAGTTTGGCAACCCAGTCCAAGAAAATGAAGTAAGGGATTTCAATGAGTTTATACAAAGTAGTGGCATGACAAAATTACGAGTAATAGGGAGAAAATATACTTGGTCTAATGGTCACATCTGGAGCAGGATACACAGAGCCCTTGTGAATGCTGAATGGTTGATGACAATTGCTACTACTGAAGTAATGATTTTAAACCCTGGGATTTCAGACCATACTCCATTATGTGTCCAATTACAAAATGATGTGCAAAGAAGCCCAAAGCCTTTTAGATTCTTGAGCTGCCTTGCAGATCACACAGATTTCCTAAAAGTGGTGACTAATTCCTGGTACAAGACTACAACAAAGCAGCACATGCAAAACATATGGTGGAAGCTAAAAGAATTGAAGCAACTGAATCATACAGAATTCAGGAATATAGGGGAGAAGATGGAGTTCTATAGGCAGAAGCTGCAAGATATACAAACACAAAGGGGACATCACACTCAACCAGATCTACTGTTTGAAGAAGAGAAAGAAGTGAAGATGAAACTAAAGAAATGGAGCCTAGTGGAGGAAAGTATACTAAAGCAGAAATCTAGGAATAAATGGTTAGAGCTAGGTGATGAGAACAATGCTTATTTCTTTGCCAATTTAAGGAGCAGACAGACTCATAACAGAATTACAAGCCTTAGTGATTCTAAAGGAAACATTATTCACCAACCAGAAGACATTGCTGCAGAAGTAACTAGTTTCTACAAAACACTCCTAGGGAGTGCTGCTAACCAGCTTCCAGCAATAGACCCTGAGGTAATGAGACGTGGAAAAGTGCTTAATAGACATCAACAATTGCAGCTAGTGTCACAGGTTACTTAGGAAGAAGTATTTCAAGCCCTTATGAGTATTGATGATCATAAAGCTCAGGGATGTGATGGATTCAATGCACTCTTTTTCAAGAAAGCTTGGAGTGTGATTGGAAACAAGGTTACTGAAGTTTTCCTCCAGTTCTTCATTGATGGAGATATATACAAAGCTATAAACTGTACAACAATTACACTAATCCCAAAGATCGAGAACCCTACAAAAATATCAGAATTCAGACCAATAGCATGTTGCACTATGCTATATAAGCTGATTTCCAAAATCCTTACTACTAGGATGCAGGGGATGATGGACAGTCTTGTGGACTAAAGTCAATCAGCCTTTGTTCCAGGAAGATTAATCACATACAATATCATCTTGAGCCATGAATTGGTGAAGGGCTATGGAAGGAAAGGTATCACTCCTAGATGTATGCTAAAAATAGATGTGAAAAAGGCATATGACTCAATAGAATGGTCATATGTTGAGCAAATCCTACAATGCCTCCAGTTCCCAGCAAAGTTTATCAGATGGATTATGTGCTGCATTTCAACTGTATCCTTTTCAATTCTACTCAATAGAGAGCCACTACCACCATTTCCAGCTAAGAAAGGTCTAAGACAAGGAGACCCTCTCTCCCCCTTCCTATTTGTGCTTGCCATGGAATACTTTAGTAGAAGTTTGAAGGGTGTCTGTGAGGACAAAAGGTTCAAATTTCATCCTAGATGCAAAAAGATGCAGATTATTCAGCTTGGATTTGCAGATAATCTCTTATTATTCTGCAAAGGAGAACTGGAGTCTATCACTATGCTGATCCAGTGCTTCCAAAAATTCTCACAAGTGTCTGGATTGAATGCCAATACTGAGAAAAGCTCATTGTACTTTGGTGGTGTCCCTCAGGATATCCAACAGTTAATTCTACAGGCTACCCAATTTAGCAAGGGGGATCTACCTTTTAGGTACTTAGGAATTCCCTTGAGTACGAAAAGGTTGTCTATTATTCAATGCAAACCTCTAATAGACAAGATGCTGGCTAGAATAAAATCATGGACCACTAGATACTTATCATATGCTGGAAGAATTCAACTTGTGAAATATGTGTTGTACTTTATTCAAGTCTACTGGTCACAAGTGTTTGTGCTGCCAAAAAAGGTTGCTCAGATGATAGAAGCTACTTGCAGAAGCTTTTTGTGGACTGGAGGTAGTGATCTTAGAAAGAAAGAACTGATTGCTTGGGATAAGTTTTGTCTTCCTAAAGCAGCTGGGGGTCTAAATATATTAGACATCTATGCATGGAACTGGGCTGCTATTGGTAAACTCCTATGGAACATATGCAGGAAGAAAGATTGTTTATGGGTAAAGTGGATCCACTCTTACTATACAAAGGCAGGGGAAGTATGGGAGACTAAGACTACTCAAGCCTCATGTGTGGTACAGAAGATTATTAAAGCAAAAAGCATGTTTGAAAAAATAGGTCTCCATGAAACAGATGTAGCTGCTATGTCCAAATACTCAATAAAGGACATATATGGAGCCTATCGTGGGGGAATTTCAGAAAGTGCCTTGGAGAAGACTGGTCTGCAACAATAATGGACAACCTAAATGGACATTCATCTTATTCTTGGCTCTTCACATAAAACTGCAAACTAAGGAGAGGATAGCATGCTGGGCTAATCTAGATGATATGGAATGTGTGCTATGTAAACAAGAGAATGAAGTTATCGACCATTTACTATTTGAGTGCATATATGCTAAACATGTGTGGTCAAAGCTCCTAGCTTGGCAAAGCATAAGAAGAGAAGTGTGGAACTGGAAGCATGAAGTGCAATGGGCCATAGAAAATGCTACTGGGATGATTGCCCAACAGGAGGTATACAGAATGACATTAGCTGGTGGAATGTATCACTTATGGCAGGAAAGGAATGCAAGAACTTTCAAGGAAAGTAGCAGATCTGCAGATCAAGTGGTCAAGCAACTGATAAGAGAAATTCATGTTAGAGCTTGCAGAGTTAGTAGATTGGATGGATATATGAAAGATTTGAACTTTTATCCTTAGGAAATAGAGCTTGTAGACAAGGCTGAATAAAGATGGTATGCAACAAGTTTGGGACCTTATGTCCAAACTGCTGATTTCCAGATGTGAGATGTGTGTAACTGATTTTGTGATGAAATAAAATATAATATAATTACCAAAAAGAAAAAAGAAATTAAGTCTCTGTTATAGATCTTAATCATAAAGACCTATTCAGACCCAATAAGTGATTGTGAAGTAAAAAAAAATAAATACACTTAATGATTAAGATCTGAATAATTAAGATTCAGACTTTAAAAATAAACACACTTAAATATCTGAGATATGAATGATTAAGATTCAAACCTCCATTAAGTGCAAACAAATGAGGCCTAAAGAGATTAAGGAGGTGGAAGCCTTAAAGCGCTTTCAAGATTTCTAATCCTTTATAGTTATTCGAAGTCAGCAATGTGAAAGCTTTTGTTCATTCGAAGCAGTTCGAAGTCAGGAATTTCATTTACGGTGTTCGAATTTGAAATAAGTAAAAAAAACCCGATAACGAGTGTTCAATATTATATTATATATCATTAAATTATAATATTTTACTTATATATATAGCGTAATTCACTAACCACCCTTAGTGTGTACCTTCGCCCCTAATTCGAAGGTACTAATATTTATTAAATCCTTATTTCCTTAATGTCGTTTCTTGCCCTAATACCCTTATAATTAAAGATTTTATATTTCTTGTTCCTTTTGAATCTTTTAAAGAAAGAAAAAGGATTTGTTGCTTGGGACTGAGGTGGTGGAAAAAGTGAAAAATAAGAGGGAAGAATCAAGAATATGGCATATTAATTAGGGGCTGCTTACTTATCTGTGAATTTGTCTTTCATGAGCGTGCTAAACATGTGGAAATTGACTTCCACGTGGTTGGATTACTATTGACTTGGTCAACGATGGATTATTGGAAAAAATGGATCAAGAATTGGTATCACTATTGTTGGTGTGACGACCCGGCCGGTCATCTCATGAGTTACCGCTCCATTTTCCCCCTCATTTCTGCTTCTACTTGCCTTAATTATTGGTTTTATATGTGATTGAGTTGGTTGGCTCGGGTTCGGAAAGGTTTTGAGAAGATTGGAGACACTTAGTCTCTTGTAAGAAGGCTTAAGTTGGAAAAGTCAACCGGATGTTGACTTATGTGTTAGAGGGCTCAGATGTGAGTTCCGATGGTTCGGATAGCTTCAAGAGATGATTTGGGATTTAGGAGTGTGATCGAAATGTGTTTTGGAGGTCCGGAGTAGATTTAGGCTTGAATTGTTGAAATTGAGTTTTTGGCGTTTTCCGGTCAATAGGTGAGATTTTGATATAGAGGTCGGAATGGAATTCTGAAAGTTGCAGTAGCTTCGTTATGTCATTTGGGATGTGCGTGCAAAATTTCAGGTCATTTGGACGCGGTTTGGTTGAATTTTTTATCAAAAGCGAAATGCGGAAGAATTTAGAACCTTAGGCTTGAATTCGATGAGTTTTGGTGGTTTTGATGTTGTTTTAGGTGTTTTGAAGATTGGTACAAGTTCGAATAAGGTTACGGGATATGTTGGTGCTTTTGTTTGAGGTCTCGGGGTGATTTCAGATGGTTGACGGGGAGTTTGAAGAATTAGTGCAGCTGTTGTATTTTGCTGCTTCTGGTATTTCCGCACCTTCGGATAGGGGGCCGCAGGTGCGGCGCCACATATGCGAAGGAAGGGCCACAGAAGCGGCCAGAGGTACGGTTGTCAGGAAACCGCAGAAGCGGCTAGGAGGACCGCATCTGCGATGTCGCAGATGCGTGTAACAGGGAACTTAAGTGACTTTCGCAGAAGCGGATCAAGAACCGCAAATGCGGTACTGCAGATGTGGAAATGTCTGGTCAGATTATATTAATTTCTCCTTTGCGATTTTCAGAGCGTTTCTCACTTTTAACACAAAATTTTGAAGCTTTGGGCGATTTTGAAGAGAGGAAATCATTGTTCATCGTTGAAGTAAGGATTTTGGCCCTTGAAACTCGATTATTTGTGATTAAGGAACAAAACCTCAGTGTTAAATTCATTAAAATCAGTAGAAAAAGGTGGAGTTAGGGCTTGAGATTAAGAGACCTTCTAGGGACAATTTGAGGGGTCAAACGAACTCCGATTTTTGAGTTTTTTATATGTACAGATTCGTAAGAGGATGAAGAACATTTTGGTATAAAGTTTGTCCAGTTCCGGGATGCGGGCCCGGGTGGTCGGGTTTTGACCGATTTCGGGTTTTGTGCTTAAAATCAATATTTTTCAACTGGAACTCATTCGTTTAGCATAATTTGATGATAAAAATCTGAACTTGGTAGATTTGGAGCACTCGGAAGTTGATTCAAGAGGCAAGCGTGTTGCAGAGTAGCTTTTCGTGCTAGTTCGAGGTGAGTAATAATTTTAAATGTTCTTCTGAGGGTATGAAACCCCAGAAATTCATAGCGTTCAGCTATGTTGAGGTGAGACACACACTAGATGACGAGCGTGGGGTCGTGCACCGTTGGGGATTGTGACTTAGTCCATCCCGAATGACTATTTTACTGCGATTTGACAGCTAATTGTTTGATATTACTATATTTTGGGCTAAATGCCATATATGGTCTTCGTGCCAACTGTCTGAACCCTTAGGGGATTTTAAATGATATTTTCCTCACTGTTTGATTTCATATTGGTGCTCAGTCATGCTATATTTTCACTATTTTCAAAACTCAGCTATGTTATTCTGTTTTAAACACATTAAATGATATTTTAAAGATATTTTGAGCTGAGCTTCATGTTTTACTGTTGCCCGAGGGGCTTATGAGATTCTAAATGAGTAAGGCCGAGGGCATGTGTTGTGAGGATATTTTTGGGTCGGGCTGCACGCCGCAACAGTGATATATTGATTATGCTAATGAGGCCGAAGGCCTGAGATTGTACGCCACGAGGTGGCTTGAGATTGATATGAGGCCGAGAGCCTGTTTATGATGCCATGAGATGGCTTGATATTGTGCTTGGGCCGTAAGGGGCCCCTCCCGGAGTCAGTACACCCCCAGTGAGCGCGGGTACCCATTGTGATATGAGATATAGCCCGAGGGGCTAGTATTGTTCTGTGACATTGCCCGAGGGGCGGATTCTGTTGTTACTGTGCGTGAGGGGCAGTTATTATGTGTTTACTATTCTGTCGTTTTCCCTGCATATTGTGTAACTGTTTTAAGGATGTTTATGATATTTCACTGTTTAATTATATTTACTGATTTTGCTATGCCTCTTTAGCTTAATATTGTGCCTTA